AGAGCCAAGCAATAATTTATTTGACGAGACTTTCCCTTTTCCTATTTATGCTTGGAAAATGGAAGAATGTTTTGCGCAAACCATGGTTGATCAAAATTTACGTCAAGTTAACTCCATGCGTATAATTTTTTCGACAATATTGATGGTTAGAAACATGCTCTTGCTTGTACGACAATTTTAAACTTGGTATTTAATTAGAAGCTCATGTTATTCAAAATCGCGTGTACTTTTTATCTCTCCACCAAACATACGTTGCTAAGTGTGCATATATTGGCCGGAAGAATAGTAATTAATTCGAACATTGTAAATCTTTGACGCCTCACGATGCAAATGGAAGCAGGAAAACATTTCACAAAGCACTTCTTGTCATTCACGTGCTGTTATTTTTTGCCGGCATAATAACACGCGTCGCAGAACTTGCTGCCGATATATCTTTGATCTCAGTCCTGTTATGGCGAAATCCACGACTACGGCGACGATGATTGTTTTTCCAGCATATAATAATGATTGCTTTTCCAGCATAAAAAAATAAAGTTGCGTGCAATAGCATCACTGCATGGACGCTATAATGCTAATGCAACGGCGCATTATTACTAGTGACTTCTCAGACAACAGGATGGTGTTAAAAGTGTCATGTTCGAGTCGCAAGAATGGGTGTCAACAAGTGTACTTCGGAACAATATATCTACATTGAATCCTAATATTAAGTTCAAAATGATAGTTCGCAGCCACTCTGGTGTACTAAAATCTAAATAAACAGCGATCGGATAGCTTGCTGCAAAAAAATACTCAACTAATTGTGACTTACAGGATGATAAAACTTCTATTCGTACCCGAAATACGATCGTAAATATTTTATAAATATATTTAATTCGCAAGTTATAATACGCACTCATAAACACACATTTTATTGTGACATTTTTATGCGTTGCTTTCATTTTTAGCCAATATATTGATTTATTCATAGGACGAAGATTTATCAATCACCTTCGCTTCAAGCCAGGCTGTCCAGCCTCATATTTTATGCCTGCGAGTTTGTTTTCATTCTTTCATCGGCGGAGAGCTTTGAGGTGTTTCGGAAAATTCTTATATTAAATGTGAGATGTTTAGCGGCTCTAGCTGATTATTAGATTCCATATTCTCCGGTGACATACCTTTGTTAATGAAATCAAGACCAACCAAATTTATTTCAATAGCTCGGCTTGCAATGTCTCTCTTATTAATATTTATAAATTTTACGAGCTCTGTATTCTATATTCTTTATTTTCTACCATATTTGGTAGCAACGATACATTACGCTCGTTTCGCTGGCAATAATTTCCGAGAAAAGTGTTTCTCTATTGCTTTGAGATTTTCTTTTGGAGATTAGAAAAGTTGGCATAGAATCGGAAATTATCGTTCTACCTATTAAAATATTGCAGTTATTTATACCGTTCTTCTGCCCCTTAGCGCTTCGTTTACAAATTTGTTCGGATTTAACTTCCAAACAGAAGTATTTATAACAAAGTGAACATTCGAAGTACTTAGCCGTGAACCAAAATATGTATAACATATACAAAATTTCGTGATCTTTGTCGATATTTTTACCTGTATTTGAAGAATTTAGCTACTGTTTGTATTCCTTCGAAAATATTTAATGTGTATGAACGTTGAATCATTTTCCTGCCATTAAATGCTATTTTGCCATCGATGGGCGAAAATAAAAATTTTATACTCGCGCTCTCTCTCTTGCTGTTGTATTGTTATTTTAAATTGCACTGTTTCGAAATGCTCTCGTGGACAATTAAACGATGGCGGCATTCCATTATAGGCTTCATTGATACTTCATTTCACCTTATGACCATCAATAGCAGATTTGTTCTATTTACAATAAAGTTGTATATTGAATGCCGATATACACGCACACTTCACCAGTGACTGACTGGTGCCTGCTCCAGATCATATTTGACGGATACATAAATCTTTCTTTCAAATACTCTTTAGGCCAACGTTAGAAACTAGAAAACGAAGCAGATAATTGAACAAACAAAAAAAAAGCTACAAAAGGATGCGTGGTCGAAAACTCACGATACGATTTTCATTAGCCAGTTTAGTTTTGGTCCTGGAAGCCTCGACATGCTATCCTTGGGAGGCATTTTTTTATAGGTTGCAGTCAAGTTTCGGGAACTTTTTTCAATCACGAATGCCCATAGTGTTCGCCATCGCAGGATGTGAAAAGGACGCCATTGCAGGACGTTCAGACGACGTGAAAAGAAAAGTCTACGGATATCTTGATGCAGTTAGTTTACAACTTTTGCTGTAGATATCAGCTGATGGTGATGGAAATTTCAACACTCAACTCGAACTGGTTCAGTTTCAATAATCGAAGAACTGAAAATGTGAAGGCTTCGTGAGATGTACACAAAACCGATTAGTTTTTCCCATCGTATTCTGATCTATAGAATAGTTAGACAAAGCATTTAATTGAGCATGCATTTTCTTTCCTCTTAAAAAGGATTCGAACTAAATGTGAGAAAATATTAGTTAGTTTGAAAAGCAACTAATTTTAAATAATCTTTTTAAAATTGTTCAGTTCATAAATCAAATTAATTTTTTCTGTAGTTAGACTATCATCGGAGTTTAAACACCATAAAAATGTACAACAATAAAGGCATTTTTGGTTAAATAAATCAAGCTAATTATTATACCAAAACAAATATGGTGCAGTGTGAACTGCTCTGTTTATCTTCTCAGTATTGTGATTTCGGGCAAAGTTTTCCTTTATTTCGGACAAATGATTTGAAGGAAAGCAGAGTTTCGATCATCTTCAATAGCAAAGGTTTTTATTTCAGAACAGACTTTTGGGAACTGCGCCACGCAATGTTACCACAATCCTAAATAAATTTGGGTACATTTTCAAGAAGCCTTCACATTTTCAGTTCTTTGACGATTGAAATTGAACCAATTCGAGTTAAGTTATAAAATTTTTCATGACTATCAGTGGATGCCTACAGTATGAGTTTAAAACTACTCAGTACAGATGAGGACTTGAACAGTTTTCCAGCTATTGAGGAGCGCCCAGTTGGCTCGAAGTTAACCTGTTTTGAAATACACGAAGAAGAGGTTCTCAAGCACCTGGTCGCTCTGAATCCCAACAAGTAATAAGGACCAGGCGGCAACCACCCTAGATTGCTCAGAGAATTAGCAACCGTCCTGACCGGCCCTTTCACAGTGTTCTTTCACTGAACCTTGAACGAAGTGACTTTGCCGGACAATTGGAAAGAAGCTCAAGTCACACCATTGTTAAAAAAATATTTAAAAAATGACAAGAGTATCCCCGGTAACTATTGCCCTGTCAGTCTGACAAGTGTTTGTAAGTTAATGGAGTCTGTTGCGAAGGGTAGGATTATAATTATCGATCACTTGACTGTTAACTATCTCCTATCAGACTGACAACATGGCTATATTGCCGGTAGATCCTGCACCACTAACCTTATGTCTACGTTGAACGATTGGACTCGCCTGCTGGATGACAGGGAGCCAGTGGAAACATTTACTTTTATTTCCAATTAGGTAGTATTGTCGAAGACTGGAAATAATCGTCTCTTTAAAATAAAATAAAATGCTCATTCAGGGGCAATATTTAATTTGTCATGGTTGGATATTTATTTTAGTAAAATTGTATACTTCCTAATTTTGATTGTGAATACCACCTTCATAACAATATCACATCAAAGCTCGTCTCTTTCGCATCCTTGAAATCTCATTCAGGTTCTCATCTCAAGATGCATGTGAATCCTGCCAGTCCCAGATGAGCTGCTAGTTCCCTTAACCGCGCCGAGGTCATAATGATCGTCTGCAGTAATTAGCTCGAAGGTTATATATAGACAGAGCAGAGACAGAAGGTTATAGACAGGCCTGCGACTGATGACGATGCGTGCGCTGCTAGACAGATGCTCTATCATCCAGACATGTAAGGCTGAATTTAACTGTAGCACATCGAACAGGTCAGTAAATTCAATAGCTCAGATCGAGTATTGAGTGTACGATTATAATTGGGGGTACGATTATAAGGGTACGATTATAATTCGAGAAAAATACGTTGTCGAATAAGTCGAATAACTAGAGCATTTTCCAGTCCTTCATGCAAATTTAGAACGGATGATAGCGGGTAGAGTGGTTTCATCGAAGCACTAGTTTACTTTTTGTATTGCTAGTTTTCAGCAAATGAATTCATTTGCTACTTTCATTGCAGAGAATATTTTCCGTTTTTCAAGGCATAGATTTTTTATTAAATGCTAATAAGGAAGACATTACGGTCCATAAGAAAACGTTCAGCATGAAATACGGTAGGAACGGTCAATCAAATGTACCTACGGCACCTTTTGGATCTTCATACAGCATAACTTCAATACGAGTTTTCGTTCATTCTCAGCGGACGTTCACAATTGTCGGTAATCCACTTAAGAGCCGCGCTGGCTCGTGTTGCTTCCGAAAATCTAAATGCTGCGATGGAATTGGCCATTCACGCAAATTGCAAGCGTCTGCAATTAGTACGATGAAATTGCAATTTGAATGAGTTGAGCGAGCGATATAAAGGAAGTTGGGATAAGAATGCGAGTGCTTTGCTGTGGTAATGAATTTCACGTGGTGTTGCTTGCAATGCAGCGGAAGGGTATTTTCCGCGAAAATTATATTTGGGGCAATCTTTGAACAAATTTACTGGCTTAAAGTGGCGTCAGACATTTATTCAGTAAACCGAGATTGGTAAAATAGCCAGGTTAATAAAAATTATTATGTAAGTAATTTCATTCTTAATCTTGCACAAATGCTTGCAGATTACTATTGTGTACAATGAATTTCAATAAATTTGAAAACTCAATACTCAATCTAACGATGATTTGGGAATATCTAATATGGAATAATATAATGCTTTTGTTGTATCAATTCTAGTTTAATCTCCTAACCTTGAACATGTTTTTAAAATTAAAATATTGAATTCAATTTTATAACCTGGTATTTATTTAAATTTTTTCATATTTGTTTTCATAAAAAGCGCATTTTGCATTTTTTACGCAGCTGAACATGACCTGATTCTTGTGTTTGCAGGAAACATGATGATCGCAATTCCCTACGCGAATATTATGCAACGTAAGGAACCCGGATCACGTAGCCAGGCTTGCCAGACTCTTGATATTCTGTCTCAAGCACAGCCCTCTCAGCGGACGGGTCGGCCTGAGCAGCGTTGTAGAAGAAGTTGGGACCTCGCAACACCTGAGTTCGGAAAATAATTATTGTTATGGATTTCGTTGAATGAAAACATAAATGGCATTTGTGTGTCTGTATTCATGAGATGGTGACGTATGAAGCGATTAGATGATTGATTACACAATAATAAAGTGACAACCTCATAACTACTGGCAAGATTATGTTCAAACTAATATACATAATAATGTGAAAACTCACGACATGAAAATATTCAAAGTGGTGACATTCAATTCTCAAAATTTGTGTAGTGTCTTAGAATAGAATAAAATAGAAGTGTCGGCATTGAAGATAAAACAAATAAAAAAACTTTTAAAAACCACGTTTTCTCAACGGACCAAAAAGAAAAACATTTACGCTTACATAACATTTAAGTTATGTAAAATGTTATGTAATGTTATGTAAGAGTAAATGTTTTTCTTTTTTGTCCGTTAAGAAAACGTGGTTTTTAGAATTTTTGTTTATTTGTTTTATTTCACTATTTTTAGTTTTGTAAAAACCAGAAAAACGCGTTTTTTTCAATATTTTTTATATTTTTTTATTTTCTACTTATTAGTTAGCAATATTAGCAATTAAAATCAATTTCCAGGGTTGGCAAGTGTGGATGTTCGAGAAAAAAACTCAATTCCAAACCGTGAATTTTAGTGTTTTTATTTTATTTTATTTTTATTTTTTTCTAAAATTTTTTTTTTAATTATTATTTCTGATGATCAAATCTTGAATTTTTAGGCATCATAAGCATGCATGCCAAATTTGAATTTTCTAGGATGTTCAAAAGAGCTCTAAATTAGGGTCTGAATTTTTGATGACAGACAGACACGAAACGAAGCTAAGAAAATCGTAGTAAAATAGGCCCATGGCCTGTTGCCGATTTTTGAACTTTTCGTGACTTGATTCACAAGGGATCCGGCCTTTGGAACCGTATCAATACATTTGGAACATATGCTCCTGCATAGCTACGTCTAGTCTGTTCTTAAAGGCGTATTGGAAAATGTTTTTTATGAGTACACTGAACTTCAAATTCCTTTTATAAGCAACACAAACGACTAAATTTTACTCATCTTACCTGTTGGTCGTGTCTCGCTGCAACGGGATCCGCGTCCAAAATGGTAGCCAGAGCCGACACGGAGCCTGCATGAAAGAATATTTATTCCTAAATAATATACGTTTAAAAATTACTTTTTAAAGACAACACTTATAAAGAATCCAGTGTCGCTAATGTTACAGATGTAAAATGAATTTCTAATTTTATTTTCGCATATTAAAAAAATTAATTGTTCAATTTTTTTAATATATAATTTTTTCTTCCAAAATTATTTATTCTGTCAATTGATTCATGCATTGCCTCTAACTTCACACAAGTGTGCAAAATTCCAGATCAATTGGACAGGTAAAAGTGTGTCAAATATCAATTATAAGATTTGTAGCTGAGAAAATTATTTTTTCCGTTTTTTTAATATTTAAAAAATAATATTTTCAAAATTATTCATTTTGTCATTTGATTCATGCATTGTCTCCAACTTTACGCGAGTATGCAAAATTTTAGATCGATTAGATAAGTAGAAGTGTGTTAAATTTCGATTATAAGATTTATAGCAGACAGACAGACAGACAAACAAGAACTGAAGTTAAGGAGAAGTGTTGTAATAATATATGTTTAAAAATTACTTTTTAAAGACAACACTTCTAAAGAATCCAGTGTCTTCAATGTTAAAGATGTACAATGAATTTCTCATTTTATTTTCGAAAATTAAAAAAATTAATTTTTAAAATTTTTTTAATATATAAATTTTTTCAAAATTATTTATTCTGTCAATTGATTCATGCATAGCCTCCGACTCCACACAGGTATGCAAAATTTCAGATCAATTGGACAGGTGGAAGTGTGTCAAATATAATTTATAAGATTTGTAGCTGACAAAATTATTTTGTACATTTTTTTTATATTGAAAAAAAAAATTTTAATTTTCAAAATTATTTATTCTCTCAATTGATTCATGCATTGTCTCCAACTTTACGCAAGTGTGCAAAATTTCAGATCGATTGGACAGGTAGAAGTGTGTTAAATATCGATTACAAGATTTGTGGCAGACAAACAAACAAACAAACGAACAAACAACAAGAAGTGAAGTTAAAGAGAAGTGTTGTAAAAAGAATCATTTTGTCTTTCATATTTACTCTGCCTTCATATTTACTCTGCTCACCTGAGACACGATTCAACGTAAGCTCAATGTTTCAACATATTTCTGAAAAATGCCGCTCTATATATGAAAAGTGGCTGGAAAAATGTTTAAATTCAAAAAAATTCATAAGGGAAGAAATAATCGAGTTACTTCTCCCGTGTGGAAGGGCTTAATGTTCGCCAGCAACTCCTCGTAAGTAATACAAACCTCAGTCATGCCACAGTGCACCAAGTAGAAAATTTGAGTGATCATCACTTGACAACAATAACCCAAAATAAGCAAAATATAGTACATTTATATCGACTATTTATATTGAGTGCTATTGTCTGGACCCTAGCTCCTTCTGACCTCGCGCCTCATCAACGAGGGCGTCGGAGACCCTGAAGAGGAGCTCGTCTCTGGTGCCGCGGATGGGGAGCAAGAAGCCTGACCTCAGCGCCGCCAGCAGCGTGGGGGACGCGCGCTCGATGGCCTGTTTCGAGCCTACATCCTGCAAGCAAGTTAAGGGAGATTAGTCTTCTAAATTTAGTTTCAATAAAAATACTAAAATACTTTTTCATTTCAGATAGAGTGAGATAAATAAAGCATACTATAGGTCAAGGAGAAATTTTGAGAAAGTTCAGGAAGACAATGTCAACATTTCGCAATTCTTTTGCGCCCGCCATATTCTCAAATTTGTCAATATTGTACATTAGGGCTTGGATCATTATCTCACTTTAGCACCAATGAAATCCTAGCATTTAACTAGAGTATAATTACAGAAATGGCTCAATTATACTTTCTAATGTTAAAGCACTCAATAATGAATCGTTAAAGTACGCATATTCAGAAAAAATAAATTGGATGAATTTTCGATAAGATCACCTAGAAAAACGTTTGGAACGCTGGAATGTTAAATTCTTGTTCAAATGAAGTTGGTTTTGCAGGCTAACAGTGTAATTGTATAGCACACGTTCCATACGTTATTGAAAAATAACGATTTCTTACAAGTCCGATTTCTTCATCAGCCAATTTGCTGAACAAATTCTGTCTGAACTGAAGAACGTTCTCCCCGTCGAAGGCGGAGTAGGTTTTTGACTTGACTGCCTCTACTGGGGAAACCAAATTGACGACGCCAGCTTCTGGTACAACATTCTGGTTGACGGTGAACCCGTCCCCAGGGCTGGCTTGATACGACGCTTGTTGCACTTCACCTTTAGGAATAAAAATTTGTTCTAAATTTAATCGATTTTATAAGATGAAAAAGGGTTGTGTAAAACTACTTGAAACCTGTATTGAAACTGATTTGGTTAATTTTAATGTTTCATTTTCAACAGAGTTACAGCAGAGTTACAGCTACAGCACATCGAGAGTTTCATTTAGTTACAGAGTAAGTCGTTGGATAACAAATAAAAATTCACAGTTTCAAGAAATAAAAGCTGAAAAATTAGCCATGCATTTATTCACTTATTACCTCTTTAAATAGTTGAGTGAGGACAGAGTGAATTGGTGATGTGAATCTTACGATTGAGGACAGCCGAAGAATAATTATTCAGTATAAATGTTATTACCAAAAAATTTGGATCCTTATCTACAAGCAGAAAAATTTTAATGAACATTCAAGATTGCATTTTATTACATGAGTTGATCGTACAAAGCATGAATAAGAAAGTTAAAAAATTCTTTACTGAAATTTTACGTTCTCGTGAAAGAGTCAGAAATAAAGTTTTTCCTATAAATTACTATAACCTATTTTTAAGGAGGACCAAATGTATTCAGCACTGGCCCGTATGCTAAATAGGGCACTAGCACTACGAAGTAGCACTACGCACTACAAGCCGTAGTGCCACTTTCTAAACAAAAAATATTTCGCACATTGAATGATTTTTTTCTTACTTGAACTATTGCAACAAATTAACTAACATTTTGATGGTAGTTAATTATAAAAAAAGGCATGAAATATGTTTAAGAAAGGCAAAATCTCAGCAAACTAAACGCTTCCAGCAAGTCAGTTACACAACAAATTAAATTAAGAAGAGTTTGAGTACTCGGGAATTTTTATTATTTTTAATTTTTTGTAGAAGGAGCGCTTGTAAAAAGAAAGAAAAGTATGGCACTGACCGTTGGCATCAACAAAGGCGTAACTGCCCTGCACGGTGCCATCATAGCTCTTGCTCTCAGAGTGAGTGCGGCCAGGGAACTGGTAGCCCCAATTGTAGATAAAAGCGCTGTCGGGACCTCGATAGAACTGAGCTCTGTAGGGGAAATACACGAGGATTCATACCAAGCTTGACTAAAAGGCTAGAGCCTCCATCTACATTTAGAGTACATTTACTTTGGCGTAAAGAATAAAATAGAAATTTGAGGTTGAACCAAAATGCTAACACAAATTACTCCTGCCCAAGTAACCATTAGGTAGAATTTAGCTTTGGAGGCAAGCCGAGAGCATCGTCTCAAGACAGACGAAACATCACAAGCTGAGATAGACAACGTCTAGTTCTAAAGAAAATCAAGTGCGAGCTGATGCACAATTCCCACAGTCGAACGTAGCACAAATATTTACAAAATTTGCAGTATTATCTCTGAATCATTTCTTACGTGTCTCTTATCTCATATCATTGTTTATGCCTACTATTCTTCCGCAAGATATAACCTAAATAAGTCATACTCTCCTGCGTCTTACCCATTAACTGACATATATATTCAAGATACGAGCATCATAAACAGTTCTAAATTTCTCTCGGCAAGTGTCGTATGCATTTATGATATGACCTTAGTTCCATTTTCAGAAATTATAGGGATTACTGAAAAAATTCGCACGACTAACATGCTGCCGGAGTCTCCAGGGTTCTGGTAGCTGAACCTGAAGGATGGGACGCTGGCTGGGAGTACGGCGCCGGCCAGCAGCACGGCCAACACGGCGCTCAACGTCAAACTCTGAAATGCAGAATTTCATGACTACATAATAGCATAATAATTCAGAGGACCTACTAAATCAAATTACGAGAATAGCTTCAAGAAAACACGATAATCAGTATTGATGAAGGAATTAAAATCCCGAAATATAAATAGATTTCAGTACTTAAGGGAATTAATTTTTCATTCAATATGAACAAAATGAGAAAAAAATTGGGGGATTAGATGTCAAATCCTGATAACTCAGCTAAACCCTACGGAAAATTTTTAATTCAGGTTAATTATAATCATCAAATCCGTCTCAGCGATGACATAAATAATAATTTCGAAATTTTATACGCACAGCCTCTTGTAAACAGCGAAACTAGGCGAACTAGGTTTGAAGCGAAACTAGGTCAATTTGAATGAAGTACTATTAATAACTATTTATATCAGTTCTGCCAGGATGCAATCAATTTTGGAGCAGCTCTTAAAACAGCTTCCAGAAATACAGAAGAAAAGATATCATTAATTTCTGTTTTAACAAATAATACCTTCATAAAATAATCACCAGCAACAGGTTAACATTATCACATCATCCAAAGTACGAAAAAAAAATAAATAAAATTATCAGTCTGTAGTCCTAGTCGTTTTAAATTTATTTTAGTTATTATCTTGAAAAAAATTGAAATAGTAAATGTAACTCATGATTTTTATCTTCAAGTTGAGTATTGTTCGGTTATCATGCATATCATTAAAGTAAATTTGACAGAAAATTAAGAAAAAATTATCGTTCTGGATTGAAGCTGCTGCTCACAAGCCGGTATCGTAAGCTCGGCTCCTGGATTACCAGGAAACAAGTTTGTGGGTGCGTTGCCCTTGCTTTCAATGCCAAGGTCAAGTGAAGAAGCTCACAATGCTCCCATTCCTCCTTCTCTCGTGCTTTGTTTAGTATCACATTGCCATAATTTATCTTATTTGTTAGTTGTTTAATTAAAATATTGAGTCAGGATTCTTATCTAGACCAGAATAATTATGTCAAAAACCTCAAAATTCCCGGAGGGTCACATAAATCAAACTCGCTTATTGATTATTTTAAAGAAGGCATTATCCGAGCGTGAACTAACCGACCTGACAAATTTGATCTTGTTGGGGAATACATTTAATTTGAGGCAATCTTGGACAGCAAAATATCACTACACCAGCACGATAAATCCTTAACGGGGAAAATCATTAAGCTTTTTGACAAAGAAGGGTAGTATGTGGGCAGATGATGACCGTTACCATAATATTAAAATACGATTTAAATATTGACGATGATATTTTTCGATAAAATTCATGATACTGAAATGTATTAATCGCCTTGATATGTGCCTCTGAAAAGCTTATCAGAAAATTAAAAACCGAATTTTACTGAATATTAAATTTAACTGAGTAATTGATCCCTTAGCAAAAATACGTAAATGACATCACATGACTTCACTCCACAAAATGCATGTAGGAATTACTCTTAGATAAAGAGAGTCATCATATCAAAACTAAATGCGGTTTGAGTAAAGAAACAACTAAATTTCCCTGCTGCTTGATAGTAATTTTACAAAAATTTTATTTGATACTCCATTCGACACTGAATTGCAAATAGTGAACAATGCACGAATACAATGTTAGAGATAATTCTGATCTTACCATCATAATGCCAGAGGTGTTATCCGTAACGCTCGTGGTGCACAACTGAAGATCGTCTCCCAGAATTCCGGTTCGCAAGCAGTCATTTTCATCCAAACCTCCAGCACAGCAACATACATGCAGCTGCCTTCAGTAATCTATTGCTTCGATGGTATAAAAAAAATCTTCTTTATGTCGACTTGATGTGATCCATGCTTCGAATCCGTGCCAAAAATTAAATGGACTTTGTGCGTAAAAAAATGTAATTGGTCGAGATTTCGCCTAAATGCAATATATCTTTGCCTCTTCTTCAACTGAAAGCAGCCCATTTTATTCTATTCCTTATAATCATGGTTATTTACGATTGCTTTCATATAGTTGCAGGTGCAAATTCGAGCTGAGGTGTTTCAAATTGTTCACGTATCAATAACAATAGCAATCTATTTGAAATATGAGATATTGAAAGAGCTTACAACAACTATATCAATCAATATAAGTAGCTCCTACTCAAACCTAAATTATTCTAAGAAACCAATTGAATGATAATTTGATCTTTCTCAATACCTGATATCTTTTTCAAGTCCAGATTATCCTTATTTTCAGATCCAGGTTGCCCACGAACATGCCTTCGCAGTTCGGTTGAACCAGGCGTGGATAATAATTCACTTCATAGAATAATAATAAATATAATAATTATCAATAATATAGAATAAATAAAATTTAATACTGATACAAATACCGAAGCATGCAACGCACTTGTCAGGTCCGCATGCCATGGGCGCTCGCATCCCAAACCTGTCGCGGCGAAGGCCAACCTGCAGGTTGCTGACCCGAGCTCAACAAGAACGAACAGCGCAATTAAATTAGTTCTATACTTAAGCGTTCGATAAACTTTCTATTAGTCATAGCCATCGGGAAAGAAATTTGTGCCGTACGAATTCAGTAAATTATTAATCAAAATTTTTCATTTGCGAAATATTTAGCACAGGTTCGGAATCAAATTCGTAAATATATGTAAATATTCTAACCTAGGCCAATGAGTGAATACTAACTTTTTTTCTTTTATTCGCATATGCGTAAATTATAGCCTAAATTAATTGAGCGACGTGGATCTTCGACAAACTTTATCACTTTTCCCCAAGTCCTACCGAGAGTCCTTGCTTTAGCTGTTGCCAGGGCTATTTGATTGGTTCGGTGACATTTTTTTGCATCATGGCTGTAAGTTTGAAACTCTAAACAGTTAAACTCATTAATCACTAATCAGTTATTATAAACAGTTAAAATCATTCAGTCATCTTGATTTTTACAGGTAAAGGAAACAATGGGCGTCTAAATATATAATGTATTTTTCATGCTCTCTAATACATATCAGATTGTGAGTAAAGTACTAAATTTTCTTCATGAATAAATCAAATAAAATTTGAGAACACATGAAAGTACATGAAGGAAAGATTTGCAATACTAAAAAAGTTCGCTATAAACTTTATTCCATGGATTTTGTCTGAGAATTAAATACTAACAAATCTTCTGTACTTGAATTTAACAACATTTACTGAAATGATCAGTTTTCCATTATAAACGAAAATGATCATGTTTCCAACCATACAGCATCCAACTAATATTATGTTAATTAATTTCACAATAGTTCTATTCGAACCAAGTTATCAAAAGATGGAAGATTTATAACAAATGAAGAGATGAAAGCACGTGAGTCAGCGACCGTTTTCCACGGTCCCTACATCAGGCCTGACGAAGGTGACGACGGCTTGCAGGGCATCATCCACCAGGTCTCCATCGCTGTGAATGAAATGACTAGTTTTTGGTTTGTGTTTCAGTGAGGAAATTTGATTCTAAATTAACACTAATTGCAATGATTTGCATTGGTAATATGTTCGCTTACTCATATAATTTCTAGTTACAGATCTATTAAAAATATTCATGTCGAAATGCAACCTTTCACCAGCGAAAGGTATGTTATGTATGGCTAAAGAATGTACACCGTTTCCTGATGAGATTTAATCTCGGTATCACAAAGTGATGCCGTGATACTTACTCAAAGCATCCGATTGCTTTTATAGAGATCCTAATGGTACTCCCAACGATCGAATTGGAATATTAGTTAAGTTTTCTACGCTATGTGAGACCACAGCTGTAAGAAATTTCATCCTTGCCCTTTTACTTGTAAAAGTTATGTGTATAAATTTTCTTTCCAACTTTGCGATTCTTCAATCAGGAAACGAAAGCCATTGAATATTCTGCAGATATTTCTGCCCCAATTTGAAATTAATTATCGAATTTTTTATCGCAAATATAATTCTTGTCTTAAATTTAATTGTGTTAAGTAACATAACAAGACAATACGTTTTGAATTACCTGAGAGGAAAAAGTCTCTGAGTTCCGAGATCAGAGACGAGCTTCAGAGCTCCGTACGGCTGGACGCCCTCCTCGGCCCGCAGCTTGAGCAGCAGCGCCTGCAACGTCGCGGCGTCCTGCTGCTGCGTGGCTCCTTTATACGGTGAGAGCAACTGGCCCGCTCCCCCCACTGGACCTGATGGCAAAATTTCAGGAATAATGCACAAAAAAAACTTGTGCGTTTTTAAATTTTCAATTCTAACGAAATTTCTGGAATAATTTTTCCAGAAAGTTTTCTATTGTATGAACTCTTGGAATATTTTCATCTTATATTAAGAAGAAGACTGCTGTTCAAAGTATTCCCTTGTAAAGGGGTAACCGTTACAATTCCAGCTCTAGAAAACTAGTGGCCGGTTTCTTATAAACTCTTCAAATAACTTGAACTAGTCGCATAGATTTTATTTATTACAATGTAAAAATATTATTTTACCTAGACAAATTAACCACACCTGACACTTGAAGTAATTCGCTGCCTTTATTACGCTGAGGCCCTGCGTTGTAATGCATGCTAACGCGGCCCCCGTCGGGGGTGACGTAGAAGTACTGCCCCCTCACGGACCCCTCAGCGTCACGCGTCTCCACCCGCCACTGATCGGGAGCCCGCAGTCCGAACCTGAATCGTATTAAGAGACATACACGAGATAAATAACTTTTTTCTCCTAACGATTAAATAAGTAGCCCCGGGAAATTTATGTAGCTTAACAGAATGATGGGCGAAAATTTCGTTCGCTGGTCATTATTCAGCTGCAGTTGAAGAACGAGGATGATTCAAACAAGTCAGCATGGCATTCTTCAATAGTGACCAGGTCCTCTAGGATAGATAAACGAAAACAAAATTGAGGTAAATTACTGGTAACTGTTTCTGTCAAGATCATTCCGTACATCTAAGCATTGCATTTTCAAAAGATTCATAAACCTCAAGCTATAGTTTATTGTAAAACGCAACCAATCGCAATAGTTTTCTCCCTTTTTTTCTCAGGACTGGAGCTCTCATTTCGTACGAAATCATGCCGAGCTATTATCAAAAAAATTTTTTAGTAAAAAAGTTCGGAACCACTTTGAAAATTGCAAAAAATATGTCAATCTACTTTATTTCTGCTTCTGTAAACATAAGAAAGATATCTCATTCGTCAGAGCAAATAATTTACTCCCAGCATTTGGCCTAGAATTAGTTAAAACATCCAGTAAGCTCCAGTTCCCGTTCACTATAGGAAAGAATGGTCGGAAGCTTCAAGCGGCGGAAATCTTGGCAAATCGTCTAAAATTATTAATAAGCACCTGTACGCTCCAGCTCCCGTTCTCTAAACGAAAAAATTGTCGGACGCTTCAGACGGCTAAAATCGAGGCTAATCTTCCAGAATTAGTAATAACCACCTGTAAGTTCCAGCTCCCATTTGTCAAACGAAAGAATGTTCGGAAGCTTCAGGCGGCGGAAGTCTAGGCAAATCATCAAGAAATACTGAATAACCACCTGTAAGCGCCAGCTCCCGTTTTCCAAAGGAAAGAGTTGTCGGACGCTTCAGGCGTCAGAAATCTAGGCAAATCATCAAGAAATACTGAATAACCACCTGTAAGCGCCAGCTCCCGTTTTCCAAAGGAAAGAGTTGTCGGACGCTTCGGGCGTCGGAAATCTAGGCAAATCGTCTTCAGTGTTCCGGTGTTCTGCTGCCAAGTTTGCCAAGTTCGGCTGTCCGTAAAACGGGGCTGGCGAAGAGAAGCTCATGAAGAAGCTCACGACGATGAGCCCGGAAGCCCATCTCTTGAACTGCGGCTGCATCGCTGGCCAGAGTGAAGAACGAGTAAACAACAGTTCCTGGAGTTTAGATGTCTTTCGATGAACAACAAAAAATTTGCCAATCAAATAAGTACGAACATATCTATCAGGGACTGATCGTAAGGACTTACGCCACATAATAAGAAACAAAGTCTTTTATAGAAAGAAGACATGAACTTTACGAATGAAGATGTATTTTTACATTGTGGGCAATAAAAAGACAGATGTTGTATATAATTAGTATGGCAACGTAGCGGTTACTCAACAGCCAAATAATTCAGTAAGCTCAACAGTATCTTTTAATTTTTATGATATTTATTCAGATTCATAAACTGACAACTGAAATCGCCTTCACAAATTTAATATATTAATGTGTATCTTAGGTTATTTTCTGTGATCATTTCCTTCGCTACAAACAATTAATAATCATCCTTACTACAACAAATTAAAGAACCATATGTAATCAGTCAATTCCAGAAAAAAATAAAATAAGTGACAAAGAAAGCAGTAAGTGCAGCGTGTAAGCGATTGAGGCGCGCTTCTGATGACCGCTGCAACGTGACCGAGCAAACCGGTACTCGCGTCGCTCGCGGCGCTCAGACAACAAACAAACCTCCTGCTCTGCCTCGCACTCAACAAAAAATACAAACTTCGTGTTTACAGATACCCTTTTTTGCTATTTCTTGTATGAAGCAAATCGTTCCTTCTACCCGCAGACTAACAGGATTACTTTTATGCAGATCTTATATGCATATATCTAGATGTCATGATACTCGATTACCTCCGTACGAGCTTAGACATAACGTTATTATTGACATTCAGCAGAGAATCTATTTAGTATTGAAAAATCGACTGATCAAAATAAAATAGACTGATTTAGTACTGATAAAATCGACCATAGCTAAATTGTCACAATTTTTGCGACTGCACTATTGGAACTGCGCTGTGCTTATGGTTATCTTAATTGATATGTAGGAGCCGATTATAGTAGCCGTGCAATTAAAACATCACTGAATATAAATAGTCCATGAACAAGTCACACATAATACATGTAAGTCGTTTGGTGTGCATGAGTTCTTTCAAAGACTCCATGTCTTTTCGTGCAGTCATGCAATCAGATTAACAAGACAAATGTCACTATAGTATTAATAATTTCAGTGATTTGTAGCGAATTTTTCGCTAACTTGAACCATTTAGGTGATCACATATACTTTTCATACCTTAATCACCCTTCACGAAGTTCATTGATTGCTTCACCACTTGACGTGAACGCCGACTAGACCAGCTAACCGCGCACTACAAACGCTGCTCACCTTATGAAGAAGTGTCCTCGACTGCAAGAGTCTACCATCGTCGTCTTTAATTTTCTTTAACCAAAATATTCATTTAATTTTAAGAATGTAATCGTTGATGGTGAACTTTAGCACAGTCTTCACCTGCTCTCGATTTACCGTATTTCAAATCAAACTGATCACAAGTGAGCGTAAAGTAAAATGAATTTTCACTTAAATACAACCATCTTGAAGTTCAATTGTTCATGCGAGCCAACACGGAGTGATCAACAGCATTGAAAGCTGCCGTTAAATGTGGAGCATTTGATCAAATGAACAATAATTTTGAGTTTAATGTATTCACTACATTAATAGTAAGTTCAGCGTTTGAAAATAAAAATAAATACTCTCCATGGAGCATACAAGTCATGGGTTCCATGACCCACTACGATGGGTAACTATCAACTCATTAATAAATAAATAACTCATTAGGTTGAAGTTAATAATTGAACCAAGTGAGTCCCGATGACTCAGAAAATCGTGTGGCTATGAGGACAAGCATCTTTGGTATGCTATCCATTCTGGGGCACTCTTGTATCGTGAAGCGGTTATGAAACTTATCAGTTTGACCATATTAGATGCAGTTAATTAGATTTTGTTCAAGTCAACTGGCTTAAATTTGCTGGTGAAAAGAGTAAAATGTTCATACTAACCCAGTTTAAATATGGATACACGGATAATTAAAATAATCTGGCAATTTTGACGTACATGTTAAAGTAAATCTGAAGGAACAAGCTAACAATTAAGCTGTATAACCTTGGATTCTGGTTAAGCTTTCTGCATTTTCCTTTTGGTGAGCATAACCGAGAGAAGTTCCCGGGGTCACTTATCAATATATTATTTGATTCAATAGCACTTATTGACAAATTTTTCTCAGGGACAATCTGGATGAGAACTTAAATTTGAGACGACGGGAATTTACCCGGGCAGCATGTGAGCAGGTTCCGGACAGTGCCTCTGTACTCTGGGCTCTTCAAAATACTTTTTGAAATCAGATTAGGAACTTCATAAATATAGAATGGCCGATATTGACTGTAATAATTCTACTCTAACGATTGCGATTAACCAATGAAATCCTTTAATAAATTAAACCGCTACCTTTATTAGGCTAGTTAAACCGTAAAACTTTGTATAATATTAGTATGTTTGTTATATGATAATACCAACACCAACAGCATGAATTTAAAATACACATACACCTTCTTGCTTCATAATTAAATCCAAAAGTTAGAATTGTCATAGATTTCAAACGTAAAATATGGAAGAGCGTCTTTAATTATTATGTGGCAATGCCGAGAGCCATGCAATGGTTTTGATAACTTATATTAATTGCATCAAGTTTCATAGTTAGGATTTGAAAGAACTTAATAATATGCCTTGTACTTAGAACAGCCAGAGTGCCCACGTCGATGTTGTTACCGAACACGATTATCAACCATGAGTCATTCGCATTCAGTCCGTCAGAGTCCAGTATCCTTCATGACAGTCCGTCCGTAAACCTTGATCTGTCCTCGCTTAATTTACTGGGGACGGAATCTTCAGGTCACCTCGGACAGAAGACCATTGCAGCAAATAAATTCTACTGCAGTTTAGCCCCGTTAAGAATGTACGAATATTCTTGGAGACCTAAAATCTTGACGATTTTTTACCTCGGCGATGGTGTAATTGTTCGTTATTTATGCACATATTCATAAAAATGGGTATTTGTCAAGGTAGATAGACCGTGGTAAAAATTGCACAATTATTTTCGAACATTCTGCGATTTTTTTACACTGAATTTTTAATAGATTTTATATATGTTTATTCATACTTAAGTTATATTAGGAGTATGAATTATATGTTGCAGCTTTCTTATCGCGAAAACAGAGAGGGATCAGAGGACGCAAATTCCAACCCATATACAGTAACAAACTCTGTCAGCCATTCCATCACTATGGAAGTTTGATTAGATTTAATGTCGCTCACTCTGCTTAATTTTTTGTGTAAATTATTTCATCGGATATAAAGTCATTATTCCAAAACATGTATGAAATATTTTGCCAATCGTAGATTTAAATTATTCGTTTAAACTATAAGTCGCTGAATAAATAAAACTTCCTCAAAAACTTATTACAGAGCTCTCTGGAAACTGAATTAATTTCGGGTTTAAATTTCTACCCAGGCATTAAATGGCATAAATGATCAAATTAAAAAAATAATTTCACATATAAAATTTTATCTGGCGTACAATCTAAGCAGATATTCTGACTCAGCATTGAAAGTTCGATTGAGTGATTCATTCAAGTTAGATGCGTCGATGTAAGATGGCTGCCCGCCATCACATTTTGCTATTCGTACCGCGCCAAGATCAGTCAAAGATGACGCACAGTAGGGCTTCTTCCCATTACTGGGCTAAGGTATTCAAGCGTATGGGGGTGCATGCAATTCCAGGGACCAGGCTTAATTTAGAGTGAAGATACCATGATAGAAATTTTTATCAATAAAATCCTGGAGGAACGGAACCATGAGGAATGTAAGGTTTACATATGATCTGAGGGAAAAGTCATGTTTAGATTTATGAAGGCTGAATCAGTTCGACATGAATTTTGTGCAATTTATGAATACGCCAACATACTGAAACGCATGACAGAGGAATTAAATTCATACCAAATTCAAATTCATTGATTGTAAATACATCAGATAAATGACATTAAACAAGAAAATTGTATGAAACATCCAAACCTTTTGAGTTCAACAATGTTCAGGATAATGCCAAAGATAATATATGCCAAGGATAATGACAATTATTCACAAAAGTATTCAAATCCACAAAAGTGAAGTGAATCCTTGAGCTATCCCTCGTTGCGGGACGCGAGACTTGCACCGCTGAAGGCGGTTGACTGCCACCGGCACCGCCGCGGGCTTGGGTGTGGCCAAGGCCGCTGGGATGAAACGAGACACAACTCCTGGTCTTAATTAATACTGGCAATTGTGGTGTGGAAAACAAATTATCACAAATTTAGTTGTTGTATTCAAGTAAGTAACCTTGCAACTAAAGATTTATTTGTTCAATCAGGAAGACAATGGTGTCTTCTTATCATATTTTTTGATGGAAAATAGCACCATACAAAGATCTCCTTGAAATTTCAGGCTTTTAAATACAAATAAAGGGTTCCATCCACTCATTGACATTCTGTATTTATTCCTAAAAAACTTCATATGAAACAGTATCTCATCTAATTTCAGAACATAATTTTTGATTAGAGCTATCGTGAATATATTTGAAGGCCGTTGCCCGAACAACTACAAGCACGTGTCCTTGGAGATCAGGGCCCACGTACGCTTGGTTAGGACCGGCGTGGTCGGCAGAAGCGCCCGACCCTGGAGCGGCCGTAGCCACGCCCGGCGCCGCACCCCTCCTCATATAAGACATCGCCGGCGCATCCGCGGCTCAACACTCCCAACACCTCCACCATGAACACTGTGAGTGACAAAACTGTGGCATACAGAAAAAAAATCATGCTAAAATTTCCGGTATAACATTGCAAAATGTCTTATTTGTGGATTTAAACGGCAGACCGTATTTTTATTGACCTGAATTGCCTAGGGCACCAACGTTTGTGAAGTTGAATTGTTTAAATTAAAATATTTCACTCGTCTGTTTAACTCGTTGTCGTGAAAGGTGGCCGATGGTGAATACCACATTTTATGTGAATATCTTTATGAAATTGGCAATAAGAACTAATGGGACAATAAGAAATTAAGCAATAGGAATAAAATAATACTTGGAAGTGAATAGATTAAAGCAAACCATAAGGGACTTTCATAGCCGAATCAAATACAATGCACGTCTACAAAAGCTTGGGATCCATTTATTTCGGCTTAAGATACAAAACAAATATTTCCGATGGCGATGTGCCGAATACGTGGGCATTGACAGATTTTGCCTTGAAAATTTCCAATACCACAGAAGGTTCATAATTATTGCGTCAAGCTTTCCAGCTGAATAGCTAGTTGTATTATTTTGTGTTTCTTTCATCAATCACACCCAACATTCAATATTTTGAATATTATGCTCTCTTACTTCTCAAACTTCAAATTTGAATTTCCACTGTTGATTATATCATGTGCTTCTAAAAGTTATCAAGGACATAGTTTATCTTCATTTTTATTTTTTCCTTGCCCGTGTTTCACTTAGGGGATTGTGTTTTAAATGTACATTTACCACAAATATCCTATCTACTAACACAAATTGTATACTTATAAGGCAATCGTTTGCTCCTTTTACAATAGCAATATTAAAATATATTTAATCACTTAACAAAATAATGACTTGATCGTATATACTCAGGTGGCCGTCATCTTGGTAGCTCTCGCCAGCTGTGCTGCCGTACAGGCAGACAAGAATGAATTTGCCGCCACGGTCGTCCGGGTTCCGAAAGAAGACTCGGCCATCATCCAGAGCCACAGACTCGGCGGCAACTTTGCGTACTCCACCCACGAAGCCCATGCTTATGGCGTGAAGACCCCGATAATTGAGCAGAAAACAGTGCCTGTCGGAGTGACCTACCACCAGGGAGAACCGATAGTCCAGACCCACACCTCGTACGTGAAGCATCAAATCCCTCAATATGGCGTGGTCCGAACCCAGCACTCCATTCCTGCAATCCAGTACACCGCAGGACAACAGGTCGTGACGTCTCAAGTGTCCACCCCAGTACAGTACGTCCAGCAAGCTGCACCTGTGCAGTACATCGCTGGATTTGCCCCAGCTCAGTACGTTGCAGCATCAGCTCCAGTGCAGTACGTTTCTGGAGGTGCTACCCCGGTGCATTACATTACCGGAGGCGCTGCCCCAGTGAAATACGTAACAGGAGGAGCTTCTCCCGTGCATATCGTTGGCGCACCAGTACAATTCGCTGTGTCTCCTGCGCAGTACATCAAAAACAAATCAGAAACTGCCGGAAAGGTCCCGGAAGTCATTGATGCTTAAAATCCTACCATCCTCTAACTTGTCAGCCCATCGATCGTCTCATCATCGCCTTCTCATCCTGACAAAATTAACCCATCGCGAATGTCTAGATCTGACAACACTGCGTCATTTCTTCTAATAAATAATATACCTGCTATCTATTTTCATATCCAATTCTGCTCTGATATTTTTCCTTTTATGGTGAGTTTCCTTTGAGTTGAGTTCTGGCAGTGATCGGGGACGCACGTAGTGTTTGCGGGTCCCAACTTTCTCACTTCTTACTATGCCGGTTTGACTTATCTCGCGAATTTTGTACCGAAACGATTTCAGTGGAAGGTTCAATGTTAGTGCAGTTCAATCAAAATTGTGCGAATAGTGAGAAAAACGGCTAGTTTATCGAACCCGGTGGAAGTCTGGTAGCTTCTTCAAACTATCGCCAGTCATGAAAAGATCCGGTCAAATGACACGAGTTTAGATCTATGAACAAGGCACGAAATGGAAAAGAATCGGCGACAGGCCACATCAGGCCTACACTTCAGAGCCGACATCACTATGTTATGTTATGTTACTATGTTATGTTATGGTGAAAGTGTAGTGGAAGCTAAGTATTTGATGATGCTAATATAATCAGCAACGAATTTCTTATTCATCGATATTTTACTTGGTATATCTTCTTATGAGGTAGTCATTTTCATCTTTACAACCTACTCAAAAAATTGATAATTATGTAGAAAAACGTAAAATTTTGGAGGATTAACACTAGTCTTCTGATTTTACAACCTTTGTTTTAATCAGTCTAGGCACCCACTTCTGACTTTGAACTTCTTAAAGTGGGTCTTTGGACCCACTTCTTAGTGAAATTATACAAGTGGAGATATTAATATGATATTTATACTTTATTTGATATATACTTAGTTATTTGATAGACAAGACAAAACACCACTCGCATCAAAGAACAAAATACAGCAATCGCATTGAAAGAAATTCACGAAATCTCTTTGACTCCTTACGCTGCATGTTGCACGTTGCATTTTCACTGCAGAATCTATAGTTGAAAATAATTGTAATGTAATACAATTAAGTTGAGTCTTGAAGAATTGCTGTTCGATTCTATTTGAAATTTATACGTAGAATTTTACCATTTCGTTAACATTTTATTTTAAATCATATGAAAATCTTTATCTGTAGAAAAAATTAAATTGAATCATCATCTAAATTTAAGTATATAAGCTTAGCATTGAAGCTACAATACAATATATGAGAAGAATAATAAGGTTATGAACACAGGATGAATGAACGACACGGCGAGATAATGCGAAATGTTTCGACTCTTATATTCTCACAGTTGTTGATTATCTATATAGCATTACTGATCAGCAATGAAGATAATTAGCTAAAATGAACTCGTGTTCGGATACATTTATCGGCTTTTATACATATGCACAAATGTAGATTAATATATTCTAGTCACCCAGAAGATGATTGGCTAAACTTAACTAGTGTTAGAGACAGAATGTCCGGATCTTACATTCACATAAATATGTTTTAACTCTATACAATATTCTATTAGTAAGAAGATAATTAGCTAAATTATACCCACCAATTTTCTTCATTAAACGCTGCTCGAGACATAAACGTACTAATGGGCTTAGGAAAAGCATAAGAGGAGAAGTGGATTCTCAAACTCCAAGGATTCTCCACCCTAAGCAACGCCTGGTCAATCTGCATATGTCATCCATGTAAAAGATTTTCCAAAATTAACAGTTTAATCATTCTAATGAGAATGTTTCACGATCCTGCAACAAACTAATGCATGTATGAAAAGTAGGAACATTTTTAACTGTGATCACATTGTTGCTCATTGTGAGGAAAACTCATACGGATAATTATTTCTTTAATCAATCTATTCAAAGTAGATGATATTATTTTCTTATCCTCCAACAAAGACGCAATAGCGACGCACTTTTTTGCCCTTAAGTGGGTCATTCTAACCCGTTTACCGCGGAGAGAGGGCGTATCATTGAAATGTGTCACTATTCGGACAATGTGAACCATACATTTTTCTGAGTGTGGCTTGGCGAACACAGTTCATAATGTGTAAATTTTAGTTCATCCTGGATTAAATGAACTATTTAAAATAACTTCGATCGTTCCTGCATCGGAAGCGATCGCTAGAAATTCCGAATCTATGTAATTCTAAATCTTGTAAAATATTGAATTAGGATGTTATGATTTTTCAGAGTATGGCATCGGGCGCTGTTGGGCAGTAATCTATTGGAATGACCTAATGTAGATTTAAATTATCGTGACAGTTGTAATATTCTGTGATGCTCACATGATGCTCCACTTCACTGATTACGACTAATTTTAATTGTTCGGCGGCCATCATAAATTTAACTTAGCTATTCCGAGAAACTAAACATCGTTATTAACGTTCAATAAAATAAATGAGTTGGCCAAGATTTCATACCTGAAGTTCAAAGTTTTTGACTGTCCAAAGTTTTGTCAACTTATACAGATCATTGCTCCTAAGGGTCAATCAATTTGTAATTCCAGGTATGCCAAGATTCATTCGAAGTTGGAATTCCAATATGCCAAGTATTATTCTTCCAAGTGTGGAATAATGCATGCTTCACCCAGCGGCAGACTCTGAAATGGCTTCATGATATTAACCTCAAACATACTAGATTCGAGCTCTATATAAAAAAAAAATTTTATTTGACTTTTCTAACTTGAAGTCGATTAATCCTTTCAAATAAATTCGCTATATATTATGGAAGAACTTAAATTTGATTTAAAATACTTAACAGAAAAACGAAAAACGGAGTGTAAGATACAGAGGGAAAACTTGCATGAATTTATTCGTGTGTTCAAACCAGTGAAACCAAAGCAATCAAAGATCTTCAGTTCCTCTGGTATGAGGAACGTCTTTGTGAGACAAGTTTGTGCGCCGATACCTACATGGCAGCAGCTTGTGTCCTTTTATGCGCCGTATCTACGGCCCACGCCCTGGTTTTTTAATGCTAAATAGTTTTTATTCAAACAACCCATTTCTGTTTAATCTATCGACATTAAAACATTTCCTTCAAGAAACATAACTTTTTTACAATGAATATTAGATACCTAACCTATAGACTCATTTAAAATAGCATTGTGTATCATTTTCTATAGAACATTCATAAGATGCAGAAGGCGTAGTTAGGTTAACCGATGGTGATGGGAGCGCTGAACAAGGTCGTGTGTGGGTGCCGCCGACGGTGTTCCCGGGAGCTGCACCGAGGAGGATCATTGTAGCCGAGGCACTGCCGTCATGTGGACTTGTGTGAGTTATCCTAGCCTGAAATAGTCATTTCATCGTCAGTGTGTCTATGAAACTTTTATATAGGGATTTTTTCAATTGTAAAATGAGACTGGGAATTTATACCATGTTTTTATCATGTTCTTTTTGCTACATTTAATAATTCACATGAAGTATATGGAAGAATATCAATCCAGTCTCGGAGCTCGCCTTTTCCATCGTAATTATGGACGCTAACTGTAATCCTAAAATTTGATCAACTATCCATTGAGAAATTTGCGGTCTGGTGTTACTGAAAAAAGTGATAATATTTGCAATAAAATTCTAGGCCTGTTTGGAAATTACATTACGAGGTCCATAAGCTACAAATATCAGCTCCTTCATCGCCGACATGGTCATCGCGAATTAAGATATAGCTAAGGTTTCCTTCATCGTCTGTTGAGCAGCCCAAGTTCCCCAGTATTTATTTGTTATCCATTAAAAGGACACAACGCCATGAAATAATAAAAACTCCACAAATCGATAAGAATACCTGGCTTCATTCAACAAATTGTTTAGTCAAACTTTTTCGACGATCACCGTTCATTTTTGTTTTCATTGGAAACTTAGGCACTTAAGGGCCGTTATCAATTCTGAAACAGAGGGTGTTAATTTCGAAAAAATAATTGTATAAATCCAATTAAACGCAAGCCATTCAACAAAACGTATTAATGGCTCATTTAAACACTGAACGATATCCTCGCAAATGACCATCGCCTTTGATTGATCGCGATTCCGTTAATTTCGCACAGCTTATTTTGGCGACAATTGGTGTACGGTACTTACAACTTATCAGTTATTTGCAACTTACATGATTACTTTTTTTTCTGGATTTTTTTCATTTGAAACTTTTATTTGAATATACATGTGATGATTCGTTTGCGTGAGCTAATATGATTTACCCGGCTTAGTGATATGACTTTTTATTAGAATTTCTAATAACAGTCGAAAATTATTGGAAAACTTCAAATTACCAATGATGTATATTTGTCTGAATGAAAATTGCAACTGAAATTCGAGTTTTAATGGAAGCCTAACATTAGTCAGATTTACGTTTCAAATTTGGAACAATGCCTTCTAGAGCAGACACTTGTACTACTAGCAATATTTACCTGTAAATGTATGGACGATATATGAACTGTGTTACGCTTAGCCCAACGTACATGAGCAACCTCATGGTAAGCTGCTGTTGATGCTTTAAGATTGCTCTTTGAATGACAGTTGCTATCGGCTTCTAAACCATACGAACAAATTATTTGCTTTGGCCCCTGCTGCTTGGTTATACAACTTATTTTCTTTAGCACTAGTCAGCACTTTATATTCATTTCTCCTATTATTCTTCTACCCGCCAGACTTTGATGATAATGGCCGCGGTAGCGGTGGCGAGCGGAGCGCAACTTTACGTCTCTGCACCAGCGGTAAACTTTAGTGAAATTTTTATCAGCGTAGGCCGGTTCATCATTAACATATTAGAAATTTTCTATGAGAATTAAGTATTCTTTTGAGAAAGGTCTCTCGATAGCACTCACAAAATTTACTTATAAAATATTTATTTAAAAAATGGCACTAAAGGCTCTGAAATTTGTGTAAAATTATATCAATAATTATAATGGTAGAAGCACATGTCTGCAACTTATTTAATTTTCGCTTGCTATTAAACTTATGTGTAACGTGTCCTCGAAGTTCGTTTGAACCAGACGCTACGATAATTGCTTCGTAGAATAATAGTTGCTTGGAAGGTAATGAGAATGTAAAAAAATTTAAATCGACACATTCACTAGCAAAAACTGACATAACATTTTCCACTAAAGAAATAATTTAATGGTTTACAAACAAAGGGTCGGGGCCAGTATCATCGCGGCAGCTCTGGCTCCTACAACTACGGCTACAACACCGGCGACGGCGTCGCTAAAGTCGAAGTGAAGCGACCGGACGGGTCGGTTGTGGGCTCCTACAGGTAAAGTAAAAAATCGTACAGTAAGTACAGGTAAAAATCGCCTCCTAATCGTAAAGACATTTTTTTGATTTCACGCGCCCCTCAGGGGGGACTTCTGAAGCGTGTCTGTGCTCGTCAGAAGTCCTATGGAATTTCGCGCTCCTAGGGCGATTGTTCCTGAGCTCCCCACCGCTAAGCTCGCGGTGTCTGACTGCGGGTTTCAGTTGTGGGGTTAAGTTATTATATAGGTAAGATTCCTTACATTTCCCTTCTCTGTCTCTCTCGTGCGGGCGGCCGATGTTCCGTGTAAGCGACCTCTTGTTCGAGTGTCGTCCTTTCTGTTGATTTTCACCTGTCCCTCCTTGTCACTTCATCTCATTGAGATGCTAACGCTGCTTCCTTCCAGCCAGCTTCAGCGGGCTGGACAATAATATTATTGAGACCTTCTGCCCCCTTGTGGGTGATGAACAACGTGTGATTTGAGACTCTTTCGATAATTGAGACCTTCCACCTCTTTGGTGACGTTCATCTTGACTTTCGATGCGAGATAGCTAAATAGCTGAAGCACTAGTAAACATTTGGCCACTTAACTAACTCGATTTCACGATATGAGACATTTATTATTGCGATTCTGAGCGACAAAATTCTTGAAAAGAATTATGAGAGAATTGCGCAAAGCGAGAACAATAATCTAAAATATTAATTCGACCACTGAATGAAGTGCGTAACGCCTTTATGAAACGATAAATCCTATTGTAATTCGTAATAAAAAAAATTGGCCAACACGCCAATATTGAAGGGTAAATTAAATAAGCGCACCAAACCCATTCAGGAAACGGCTCGATGCCACCATTATGAAATCATTTCAGTTGTAATGAATTTTCAGCGACCTCGCGCTCTTCATTCCACATTCTCGTCAATCAAGTTTTGGCATTGCGCGTTATAAAAATTCAATATTTATGAAACCTCGAATTAATTCTTTTGCAGATATTTCGATCCTAACGGGAAGCAGATAGTCCGCTCGTACGTGGCAGACTCGAAAGGTTTCCGCATTCTCGGCAACGATCTGCCAATCTCTCCTGACACTCCGGCAGCGGCCATCGTGGGAGCCCCTGCCCTCACGGCGCCTGTGGAGGGCGCTGCAAATGAAGTTGTCGATTCATCAATAAATCCTTCAAAACGTTTCAACACCGTTGATATCGCGCACATCAACACTCAGCCATTGCTAAGACACTACTACCAGCAACAGACTGTCTTCCAACAGCAAAATGATCTTTTGAAACAGCAGCAACGAATCATTGAAGAACAACAGCAACAACTTGCGTCTCTCAGGAACACGAATGTCGTCTATTCGCCGGCCACAAACATTCAGCGAACAGTGAATGACTTTATTCAATACAACACCATAGATGAAACAGAACAGAACGACGCTCCGTACTACTTCAACCCTCTGAGTTACAACTACGACTTCCCGGCAGGCTTCGCTTATGGCGGCGGTCTCGTCAGAGTCGAACCTCGGCAGGTCATCGGCGTCCAGCAGGCCAACGTTCAGGTAAGTTATCTTCCACGATGGAAAGTGACTATGGAGACTAAAATATAATTTTCTTCTGAATTTAGGGTTGACGTTAATAAATTTTGAGATTGTCTAATACCTAAGCCTGACTGAAGGAAATGGGAATTACACTCGTCATTTATGATTGAAATGAGTATAACATATTTCTTCGGCGTATTGAAGATCAACCACCATTATTAACAACTACTTATATTTCCAGACCAATTTCTCCAATTTAATCTCGGACAAATACACCCTGACAAAATTAACATGAACCTATTGAACCTTGAAGGAGCCGTTGGCGGTGGGCCGCAGCGACGCAGTCCCCAGTCACCGCCTGCCACCGCTGGAGGTGGTGTCGCGCTTCTCTCGGCGCAACAGACCGACCTTCGTGGCTGGACGCACCTAAATTTACATTACTGACGCGAATAATTCCTCTTTTTAGAGAGCTAGCTCTCACTGAAGGCATACTCACACAAGGGCATTACGTAATTTGGAGCAATACATGTCCGTATAAAAAGATTTTCATTCAAAATTATGCAGTAATCATTACTAGATCAACAATCTCGCGATTGTTTCACTTTTCAGCGGACATTCCAAGTCATGACTGATTGTTTCGAACACAGAGTTGGATTGAAAAATACCACATCATTTCAATTAATCGGAAATTATCGTTAAGAACCCTGATTTGTCCAGCACTTGGGGCATTTTCATTGCTGGAACGATGGAGGGTTTAATATATTGAACCATCAGGACATTAATATTGGAAGGATTCAGAAGGGCTCAGCATCAAACGAGTCAAATCATTCACACGTGCAGAGCGAAGATATTATTTGAGTGAAGATTTTCTTATAAAGAAGCGTTCATAAGAGGATAAGTATATCAGACCAAAAAATTAAGCAATGCTTGATTTTGTGACACATCAGGTCATGAAACTTGGCGATCGAGAGAAGGAAACTAAATCTTAAGAGATTACGGAAGTACAACTACCAAATCCTGCTACAATATAGCTTTAACCACATTTAGTAATCAAATCGATTAAAAAGTTTTCACAGCGCCTGAGAATTATACTTCTTACTTATAATCATCTTTGGGTTAAAGCAGATGACAGGAAACCACATTAGCATAAACGCACCTCGTTACGCTCATCCATAACTGGAAATTCAAGCGAATTGAAGAACTCGTATAATGAAATAAAACAGCCGAGGTATCAAAAATAGTTGTATTGATTTCCTTATGAATAATAAGCCTTCAAGTAATCGCCGCTGAGCAACGTAGATACACTCTTATTATGATTAAGAAGAGAACGTCCCAGCCAACACGAATGTCTCTGACCATTACTTTTAAAATATATGTTTCAACCAATAAATTAATGGAAGATAAAATGGACATTGCTAAACTAAACTGAACACTTAAGTTGGTAAATTATACGGGTATAGGACACATACTTAACTAAATCCCGAACGTCTATCGCCGATACAAGTAAATAAGATCGTCCCGATGTTTAATACACGTTTCTATCTTTCAAATGCTCGCACATTGAAACAAGTAGCAATTATTTTACATACAAAATAAACTAATATTTGTAATTCGCAAATTTTAAATATATCCAAGTCGTAGTACATATTGGTCAGCAGACTAATGAAACCTCTACGCCCGAGGAGCATCAAGATCATTTCCACGGCATGACCGACAATTTCCAGCCAATTCTGGACGTTACAACTAGTAATCCTATACAATACCAGGCAAGAGATTCACAAGTGGCAAGTCAAGACTACTGAACCTAGACAGCGAGCAAATCAAGCGAGTCTACATTACAGAACTTATTCCGAGCGCACTGTAGCCACAAATTTAAACAGGAATGGGACATCGTGAGCAAAGCAAAAATTGGAATAAATATTTTCCCTGAGCATGAATAGTTACCGACAAGAATGGAAGTTCGAGCTAGAGCTATAATTTAAGCAAGGAAGCACAGTATAATTCTCCAGTAAAAAAAACTCGTTTTCAAAAAATATGCGAGGAGAAATAGCAAGTGGCCGAGTTCAGAATGGATACAACGAACCTAAACCTAGGTAATAATGACGAAAATACATAGCTGAGCCTTTTTCTCTATCATCACAATTTACAATACCACTTGATATATCACACAACAGGTCACTTGTCTATAACGCAACAGCTCACTTGTCACGGTTTGTCATGAACGGTATCACGCAATTCAAAATAAAAACACAATGACGCGGCCTTAAAAAGAAATTTACGTCAAATAATATGCTGACAAAGCGAGCATTAGCTTCCAATAGCGCTTCTCAGGTACGTACGCGATTAGTATCAACCCTTCCGCGGGTAAGCATAGAAATATGAAAACATTTCAATTTCTTCTGCCAGAGAAAGAAAATAGGAATAATTGCAATATATGCATTTTCGAAATTTTGCATGTCGGTAGAGTATACCGCAGTTGCAGAATTTATTAAATGCGGTCCCTACGCTGGAAGATATTTACATGATTAAATTTCAAGTATACAAATGTTAGGGGTTGCTATCTAACATCAATTCAATTTCATCAAGTTAACTATTGCTATTTCTGTCCGTATAAGAGAATGCGGAAAAACTTCAATTTCGTTGTTCGTGTCACAACTTGCACGTGAATGCCCGTCCTTTAATTTTTAGGCATGGTATGGGGCCATACTATGGTACGATGGTCACATAATTCGCAATTGGCAGAGGCATGAAAACGTAGCCTCAAATACAAACTGGGGTCATGCTGGGATATTTGTAGAGACCGTAAATGGTAACTTGCCCGCAAAAGGGTTCTAAATGGCGCGGTATATATTTAACACCTACATAAATTAAGATTACGACGTAACGTGAAGCAGATCTTTGGCAACACAATATTTTCTAAATTGTGAAGGCATGAGTGCAAGATAAATGAGTAAACAACAGGATCTTAGTAAGTCATGATGAAGATATTGATAACCATTAACAAATCAGAGTTGTGGTACCTCCAGAACTCGACGATAATCCAGTCTAGTAAAAGCGTTGACTGTCGGCAAAGTCGACTTCAGAATCAAGTTATATTAACCCGCAAAAAGTCGAGGATAAATCGTGCAAAAAAGACAGCAGAGTCTAAAAATTTTCGTAAAACAAGTAAATAACGAAGCACACTAACACCAACTAGCAACGGATGAGCGAAACAAAGCATAGTTTCGTTATAAAAGTCGCGTATATTTCTGCGTAACTTTTTTACCACAATTTCGTGGTGACATCCTATCACTACTAGTTCCAATACAGTTGACTTTTGAGCTACGATGATCGCGACTTCCATCAGTACGAATTTGGAACATGAATGTAATTGCTAATAAAATTAACGATAAACATGCCAATCGGAGCCAAGAAGTTTGTGATTAAATGAAGTTCATTTCAACTACAAGTATAACTAAATAAAATTAATGTGAGAATATATGCAGAAAACGACAACCGAAGTACTGTCATCAGCTTAATATCGTCATCGGCGCTCGTGGCTGTTCCGAAAAAATTAAGATAATTGCGACATAAAAGAATGAGTACAAACACGAAAATGAGGAATTATACCACTAACCTGATAACAGGGAAGAACAAAAGGCTTAAATAAGAAGTATACAACATAACGGTGATAACAAAATGAAATTAACTGATACCCATATAAGTAAAATCTGTGCTAACTATAGTATAATAATATCAATAGGCATGGGAAAATGACAAGGATTTAACTACCTCTTATGACGATAAAAAACTACAAGGGGGCAGCCCAGTACTGGTATCCTCGCAACAAGAGTAATAAACGCACGTAAACAACTCAATATTTTAAATATTTTAGCTCTAATTTCTAGAGTTTAAGATTATTATTGAGAGTCGTTGATACAAATACGGCTTAAAACCTCGATGATCGTTACAATACTCATTTAATTATTGCAGCGCAGTGCAAGCTGACGTAAAAACAATATAAATCATCTCTGGTCGACGTTATTATATCTCTAGTCAACCTCGTGTAAAAAAAAGTCAGGAATTGAAATGTCCGTTTAGATGATAAGGTTAACAGTAATGAGACGAGTTGGAGAGATAAGTAAGCAGCTTACTACAAATTGATCGAATTTAAGTAGAGCATAACATTCTAGATAGAAAACTTTCAATTAAAAAATGCACGTCTACGTTTTGCATGAAGGTATTTTATCGCATGCAAGCATCAAGTTTTTAATACCTTCATTAATTCAAATATAAACTTAACATGTAAATGGAACCAATTATATCTTCAATACCAAAATGTTCACCGTAAAGAAGAAAAACTGGAAAAATTTGTAAAAGTATACATTGGCAGAGATGTGGACTTTGTCATTTAAAATGCATCTAGGAAGATGATACATAAAAGCGGTTATACGATAGACGTATTCGTTAGTTTTAAGTCATTGTTGAAAATCGAGTAAGAAGTGCAATAGTTTAACACGTCTCACGGATGTTCTATTATGACAGGGGTCAGAGTGATGCAATGAGCTACTGTACACAAGTGGCTATTGCACATTAAATGTTAACATAAAAAGCAGTACATTAATCAATAGAAAATACTGTACAGTGAAATATTTCTATATTCAAGACTGTCTCAATTCTGAACTCTCTTCTGCCGACATAGTCTTCAACGCATCTCCTTCAGACTGTCGCTGATAGTTACCAAGTTCTTCTGTGTTAAACGCCTCTTTTTCAGCCTTAGTTTTACCGGGACTTAGGCATTCATTGGGTTCATCGGCATCGTCGTTTATGGTCGTATTTAAATCGGTGCCGCTGTCGCCGATGTATTCCTCGGCTTTCACGGCCACTTCGATGCTGCAGTTGCGCAATGATGCGCGCAGAACCGCATCCTCCTCTTCAGTCAGCATCCTGCGACCACTGTTTAGGTTAGGATTTCGGTCAGTAGTCAAGCTGAGCCCGTCTTCGGTGGGCAAAGCAGGAGCTGCTCCGCAGTATTCAGATGCACGTTGGCGATGCTCAGGAGAAGGGCAGTCATCAGATGGGTCCGTGTAATGAGAGTGGCACTCGCTGCATCGTTCGTCTGAGTGCGAAGCCACCAAAACTCTGCGGAGGTCGTCAGGTATGGAAGACAGAAGCGTGTTGAGCTGTGCCTCTAGTTTTGTAATTGTGTTGTCCTCCACGGCGGCCAAGGTGCGAGCCGCGCTCAGCTTGTGCCGAACTCTCAAGATGAGGTCGACCTTTTCAACCTCCCCATGGCTCAACATCCACGACTCCAAATCCTGTTATTAATTTAGAGTAAATAACTTGTCCTTTTCCATCAAATTTAAATAGGAGTTCCACATAAAGTAGTAGATCAAAAGATATAAGTTTAATGAATCTTGTACGTATTTCAATAGCAAAAACCGATAAGGAAAAAATAATATTACAGAACTGTAGGCTTCGGAATACGCAATTATTCAAAACGAGAAAATTTCTTAAGATCATCAAGTTTTTCTTGATCAACTAACCGCCTCACTGAGCGCCTGCAAGTGTAGAGCTGTGAGCTTCTCGCTGATTTCTCTATAGCGCGCATTGAACCAAACTGAGAAATTCACGCACCGGAAAAACCTGTAAGAATGCGAACAAAGGGTGAGCGCATTATGTGTAAAAAAATATGTTGGATGAGGAGATTATGGATAACGAAAATTAAAAAGTTAATTCCGAATCAACCAAATTAAAACGAGATTAAGCAGCTAATTCAACCCAGTAAATGGGTTAACCCTTAAGACTATAACCTTGCTGTGGTCGCATGCAAAAACTAACCAATTTATCACCTTTTCGTTCGGTTTCGTCACGGTCGATTTTCGTAGGCGTGGATTACATACATGTGTAATTACATACATGTGTAATTATTTTGTAATTTTGTAATTATTCTTAACAATTTTGATTTGTGAGTAGTATCCTATTTACTTTATTTTGTACTTATGTTGACGTTAATTCCATCACTCAATTCGCCTTTTAACTTGATAATGAATGATAGAAACATTCGAAACGTCATTAACGAAATAAAAATGTCCATCGGTAACCTGATTTTCGATTTGCCAGTTCAAACTAAAAATATTGTTTGATATATCGAAAAAACTGATAAGAAAATTGCGAATAAAACAAATTCTCTGGTCTTCAATGAAACCTGCTTGAAAGAAGAAATTCTGCCAACCTATACTAACATGTGTAATTACATACATATGTAATTACATATGTACTACATATATATGTAATCCACGTGACCACTGTAGGGTTATTATCCCAAAGGTAACAGGTACCCAGAATTCGTTTAGGGACAACAACCCGAGGCAAAGCTGAAAGCACCGCCTTCGATGGCTGCCAACTGCCATTCACCAGTGACAATGAGGAATGAACTGAGTTTCCCGAAGGCTAAAACGCACTGCTAGCTCCTCCTCACAACTCGGTCCACGACTGTGTCCACATATTGTAGACCAATAAAAAAATTTTTCATGCCAGCAACGTCAATAATCAATTCGTAATTAGAAATACTTAAAATCCTAATAATTAAGAAAAAATTCAGCCATCACACCAAGGCGAAAAAATGACAAACTTGTGCAGCACAGCAGCCCGTTGACATTGCAAAACTCAATTCAACGAGCAGTGCACATCCGCCATGATAAAACAGGTTAGGTAATAAATATATTATTTCGCAGTACGCACCTTCTGTATAGACCTTCCCAGTCGCCTTTGATGCCGGACGTGAGTTGTGGTCCGGCCGTCTCTAGAGTCGCCAGGAATTCGTCGGGGTTGAACGGACGTAAGCTTGGGGTTCCCTGTGAACGAAGAGTTAATATGAAAATTATGGAATACTTTAGTATTGATTTGGTGTCAAAGCGCTAACAGTGAATTTAAAAAATATACCATATGTAATTTGTGGCATTTCAGTTATAAAATATGAACGAGCCTTTCAATGATCCACAAGTTGAACTTAACTAAAAAATCTTTATTAGTATATCTTTTGACTGTTAGGAAATTTTAATACAAAATAAAAAAAACTCTTTTGAAAAATTATTACGAGGCGTCAAGTACATCGAATATATGTAAAAAAAACGTGACGTATAATCAGTTAAGTTTGTTATTTTAATATCTATCATTATTATTATTTCCACATCAATTAGGCAGTTTAAGGAGGATATCATTTATCGTTTACGAAGGATATCGTTTGGTACCTTCAACAAAATACTTCAGTAAAACAATGTTTTTAGAGAAAAGTCACTAATTCGTAATCCTTAGCTTCATAATGTTCTAAGCGTTCATCAACGTTTTCTTACCACGGCACGCTCGTAATTCTGACCTTATAAGGCGATATGTTGCGGTGCAGGGGCATGAGGCACGCTCGTAATTCTGACCTTATAAGGCGATATGTTGCGGTGCAGGGGCATGAGGGACGCTCGTAATTCTGACCTTATAAGGCGATATGTTGCGGTGCAGGGGCATGAGGGACGCTCATAATTCTGACCTTATAAGGCGATATGTTGCGGTGCAGGGGCATGAGCGACGCGACGTAGCGCTCCAAGGGGATCATGAAGCTCTGGGTGAGCTCAAGGAGATGGCGTCTCAGCAGCGCGCTTTGCACCTCCATGGGTCGGTTTGTTTGCACGCCTCTCATCACTACTTTGCTCAGGCTCTGCGAAAAATAGAAAATAGTCAAAGATTTATTTACCATCGTAGGTTTGTTTGGTACTGAAAAAGATTATCTATTCTTGAACCTATCGCGGTCGAGTTGTTATAAATGGTAACTTGAATAGCAGCCAAATATGGAATTATGACTGGACAGAAAAATTAAAATATATGAATGAAATTTATAGATGAAAACGAAATTTAGATCATAATAGTATGTATATCATATGATACAGTACATTAAACATAACAAGCAGGAGTAATATTAATTACAATAATAAACTGAATAAGAGAATGATTCCAATTTCCACCAGACTTTTCCCACAGGAATTCCTCACCTTGTCAGGCTGGAGGTGAGGTCTAAATTTAGTGTAGACGCCGGGCTTGTGGTCTAAACAGCGCAGCTGCTTCCTGCCGCCCTTACTTTTGCTGGGACTGCCATTCAAAGCTGCACATACAGAAATATTAGAGAAACTGCGAAAAACACTAATTTTGCGTAACATTGAAAATGAGATCCACATTTAATAATGAATATTAAATTTAGCTCAATCAAGCACTGTTTGAAAGTTGCTTTAAATAAGATCAGAAGCACATATTTGAGGTCATGGCACTGACGTTCTTCCAGCGGACGCACGACGTGCGGCCAGTGGTGCAGGGTCTTGGCGAAGAAGGGGTTGGTGACGCCCAGCATGACGTTGGGAGGCGCCGTGGTGCGGGTCGTGTACTCTTTGAACTCTGAGTCGTGGATCGTGAAGAATGGACGGAAGTCTCCGCTGTACTTCAACGGAGCGATAAGACTGCACAAACAGCATCCATGAATTAAAATATAACTCGTGCAAAATGCAAGCAAATATTGTGTAAGATCGGAAAACTCGTCATCAAGACAGCTGCTAAGATGTAAAGGAAATAGTAGACATAGGAAACAAACGTAGTCAATTCAACATCAATGATATCAATGTGGGTCAACACAATACATGAGGCAGAGCTGGTAATGTCTAGTATCACGTCACATGCGGCATTGGTGAAATCAGAATTCAAGTCCCAACACTTGTAACTGAAATAAAACGAAGAGATGTACCGTCAATAAAAACACGACCTGGCAAACAATAACTTGCGAAGAAACATTGGTCAGTGAGAGACCAATTTTCACCGTAAACGTCAAGACAAGCTTTATTTGGCCATCATTAATAGTAGTACGTGAATTAGGCGTGACATGGCACGTAAATTAATTGTGGCACGTGAATTAGTCATGACCAGGCACGTAAATTCATCGTGGCACGTGAATTAGCCATGACCAGGCACGTAAATTAATCGTGGTACGTGAATTAGTCGCGAGCAAGAGACCTGCGTAGCGCGTGGACAGTATTGGACGCGGTCGTGGGAGTGGCCGCCATGACCACGAGGGGCTCAGCGGTGAGCACCAACTCCCACAGCAGCTGCACCTGGCACACCAGCCCGGACAGCACCCGGAACACCTGACAACACAAGCCAGCTGTGCTCATTTGTGATGGATCAATGCGTAAGTAAATATGTACTCAGGAACAGGGAACAGAACACGTGATCACAAAATTTTTCCTGTTGCCATTAATTGCTACGCACTTAAATAAATAGGCTCGAATTGCAATCGGTACGGGTAAGTAACATATAGGTAATTTTGACTGCAGTTTAATATAAGGGTCATCGAAGTATCTGAAATATCTTTTTCGCCCATGTTATCTACAATGTAACAAAAAAAACAAATTTAACAATCAGCGCGCCAGACCTGCACTTGATTAGGAGTCGGGACATTCAGAGACGGTGAAATCGGCGCCACCAGGAAGGCCGGCTTGTCGGCGGTGCAAGGAAGCCTTGTGTGAAGAACCTGCCCCAGCAGGGGGAGTGCCAGGGCTTCTCCTGGCACTGGGGGCGGCCACTGGTCGAGGTTATGACACGCCGCTTCTATACTCGCGGCCCCACAGTCGAAGTATTCGGGCGCGAGCACCTCAAGCACGCGCGTGAAGAGCCCCACTAGTGGCAGCACCGACAGCACCACCACGCTCTGCACAAGCGGCATCGTCAGTTTAGTTGTTAGTTTAGTAGCCAAAATATTTACTACGGATTCAGCTATTTAGCTATCTTGCTCCGAACGTCAAGATGAACATCACCAAAGAGGTGGAAGGTCTCAGTTATCGCAATATTCTCAAATCAAAATTTGTTCATCAAATTGTGCATCGTCAATAGTTGACACTAGCGGGAGGCGACAAAATAATGAGTATTGAAATTCATCATACGTACCGGTACTAGTTACTATTCTGCGGTGTCGAATGTGTTTGTAAATAGGGTTATACTGCGACTAAATTGTGCCCGTACTGCGTGATCTAAAAATTCATGATCAAGTTGCAGGAGCTGCACAATGTCTCAAAATTTTGAGATGAGTTCCGATGACGAATTTGTTGTGAACACGACCGAAAGCATTGTAATTTAGACGAAATCGAAAGCATTTTAAATTAAGCGTAGTCACGAAATAATGCAGAAAACAGGGTTGATGTTACCTAAATTCAATAGAAGCTGGAAAACAAACTCAAGAGGAAGAATTCAAGAAAGCTCGAGCCCCGATGTAGCATCACGCATCTCCGCTTTTTTTATGGTTAGGCTAATTATCAATAATAAATAAAAATCGCTAAACACCTTACAAACTATTTAAATCTAAATAAGTCAACACTGACCTAACTTCACCACCTCAAATAACCGAGGATTTTACGCAAGAAAAAATGCACACGGTGGCAAATTTTGGGCATCGCGAAGACTTACCTTCTGAAAATATCCTCTCTTGAGTGTCTTGTCCTTGACTTGTCTGAAGTAAACATAACCATACATGTAGCCTTCGTCAATCTGCAATACGGCAAAGACAAGTTTCAGGGCTGTTTCATAAGTAGGATTTATTTTGTAAGGCTCACAACAAAAATGAACTGAAGACATTAGTAACAGAAGAAAAACAGGAGTAAATAACAAATAAATTAGGATGAAACGCACATAAATAGAAAACATATTAGCGTTTCCATAATCAATTAAGCGTAGTAGGTATTGAAGGATTCCTGGTATATGAAGAATTAGGTCATGATGAAACCTTCGACTTGATGTAGGTATGCCCAGGCACTCAAACTAATGCAAGACCTAGTTTCAATTGGTCAACATTAATTAAGTATATAAAAAAATACTCAAATTTTAAATAGTACAAGAGACACATAAGCCAAAGTGTATTGAGAAATATCCAGCAGTGCATATGTTAGATACAAAGCAAAAATGCCCTGACCTGGTCAGGAGGGGGACAGGTTGTGGTGTAGTGCAGGAGAGCAGGAGGCAGCGCAGCAGCAGTGCAGGCAGAACTCCTGATACGGAAGCTGAACTGAACGTTGCCCATGACGCCGCTGTTGCTGTCAGGGAACGAGAGGTAGCACACGTTGCTGCGCTCGCTCTCAGTCAGCACGCGGTCACCAGGGTAGATCATCTGGACAATCACGGCCTTTGATATACTTTAACGCACTATGATATTGGTAACAATATTAATAAACTACGAAGCATTTATCGTGGCGTCTGGTTCAAACGAACTTCGAGGGCAGGCCACACACATGAAAGGATGGGAACGGATAAAATTACTAAGCACTAGATTCATAGGCTATACGAAATAGTTCCGTAGGCGCCGACGAAACATCTGCAACGGAGGAGCCAAAGTTACGGAAGCCGGCAGACTGTTCCAGATTCTGGCGGCGGCGACCGGGAACGCTGTGTCGCCGACGGTAGGTAGACGTGTTGATGGTACGACGAGGTCCGCTGTTGATGACGAACGCAACCACCAAGGCAGATCTCACGGAAGGCTGCAGACCTTCCGTGAGATAAGGAAACGCCAGACCGTGAATGCATCGGAACGTCAGAACAGCGACCTTGAACTGCGTGCGCTGCTGAATGCGCAGCCAGTGAAGATCGCGGAATATCGGCGTCATATGGTCGAATTTTCGCTTATTGTACACGAGTCGAGCAGCAGCGTTGATTACGGATCGCAGTTTCTTGAGTGTCGTGTTCGGAAGTCCATAAAGTGAGGCATTACCATAGTCCAAAGTGGTCAGAACGAGTGCCACAAGGCCCCAAGGACCGGCCTCGAAAGACAGCGGCTGATGTTACGTACTCGTATTCATCGCAGAGCGCCAAATCAAGCGGTAGTGACTGTTCATTGAAAGTTCCGAGTCCAGCAGAATGCCGAGGTTGCAAACTGCGGACGCAGGCATGACGAACTCGTTGCCCACGCGAACAGGGCCGGAAGCTGATAGTGGCGCTGAGCAGTCGCAAACCAAATAAAGTTGGTTTTTGATGCATTGAGCTGGAGCCGGTTGGAGCGCATCCAGTCTGAGACAGCTTCCGTGCAGGCAGACATTCGATCCTGAAAAGCTGCGGCGTGAGCCATAAATTTGGGTGTCGTCGGCAAACATATGCGGATTCAAACTATGTGAATCGATAATATACAATACGTCGACAGTATATAACAGGAAGAGGTACGGGCCGAGAACTGATCCCTGTGATATGCCGCAAGTGACCAACGATGAGCGTAGCGGTAGAAGAAGAGTTCCCGCGTCGAACGCATTGGAATCTATTGCTGAGATAGGACTGGAACCACCGAAGCACTGCCGCGCAGGCCGAATGGTGCGTCAAGTCAACGCAATAAAGTGGTGTGGTCAACCGTGTCAAGCGGCTGACAGGTCGAGTAAAACTCGACCTGTCAGCCTAGTGCCGCAATGTCGCCGCGGTCCACTGCACGCAGAATGTCTGAAAGCACCTTCATCACAGCGGTTTCCGTTGAATGGAGATGACGGTATGCAGACGAGGCGAGGCATGATACCGGACGGCTAAAGATGGTTGTTCAGCTGTCGCGCCACAACGCGTTCCAGGAGTTTCGACAAAATCGACAGGTTGGAGATGGGGCGATATGATTTGGGATCGGATAATCAAGGTCTGGTTTTTTTAATAGAGGCGTAAATGACAAATGAATTCGGCGTAACATCAGGTGTATGAATGAGAGCTGAACATACAGAGAACATCGATGCACGAATACAGTGACGAGCGTAAATGAATGTACCTACCTACTTTCTTGAAACGTTTTCGTATGGGAGACGACGATCGATCAAACTTAAACACCAAGTTCGATGCTAAGGGAATTTTGAAAATTACTCATGTATAGTCAAATACTAAGGCTACTTAGATGATCAAAAAATCATCTTGGTCTGAAACCAATACTTGAAATGAAATAACTTTGTATAGTACATCTTTAATTGACTTTATCAATTTTTGTAATTCATGCCAGGAATTTGCAAGACTTATCAGATCTATTAATATCAAAGACATATATAAATTAGTCAGCGCATCTCATTGCGCATCAACGAAATAGAGCAAGGTTTAAATGAGAATTTGTTTTCGTGGAGATTTTTCAACCCGAAATAAAAAATATTGAGATAAACGCATAAAGCTTCTATGCCTTCAGAACTAGCCTACTCTTTGTACAGAGTGTTTTGGTTTAATTTACTGATTTGGTTATGTAATAAATGCCAAACAATCTTTCATTCATTGTATTAAACTTTTTAGTTTTAGTAAGCACCGAAGAGCAGAGTTCATCTTTGCCCAGGTAGCTTAACCTAAATTTCCCCTTGTTGACGACCATAGCACAGTTGGCATCGTCTGCCCCTGGATACGGTGAAGGGTGGCATTCAACGCACATAGATGATCATTTATCGGGAACCATTCCACCAAAGTTGCCCTGCACTGCCTTACTCGATCAACTCACAAGCTTTCTTTGTACTATTTACCTAGGCGTCATATTAACACATGTGAAGACGACCATTCATCACCTGTGAATATATTCATTCTATAGTTATGCGTATCGGTTCATTCACATATTCTGCTCAAGAAAACCACCTTCGAAGCGAAAATGTTACCGTCTGAAATGACGGTAAGTTCACTCCATCGTAATGACGATTTTTCCATAGATAAATTTCGAAGGCATATACAACGGAAAAACTTCGAAAAAAAATTCGCTTTGATAGGCCAATGAGAATCAAGGGTTTCCCCAATACTTGTAAAGAATACTTAACAGTGGTACGTGAATTTGACCTTAACTTCCAAGTTTTCTCTTGCACACTCAGTGTTTCGTAGTTATCCGGACAAATGATCACCGATTAGAGCAAAATTCTTGTAGAACGGTTCGCGATTATGTTTGCAGTATTTTGAATGTTAAACTAGAATCACACACAAAATGAAAGCGTTTAGTGCAAAATAACTGGAATCGTTGCACATGGCTGAAATTTTGTACATCAGCTGTGCACATTAATCATCGTTCCTTTTGCGGTATGTTCGCCTCGCATTACTCAAGTGTTCACATCCATTGAGCTCATATGACGTAAGCAGAGCTGATGAATCGCATAATGCAAGGTCCGATCAATTTCTCGCTGGGAACCTCAACACTATTCATTCATGCACTTTCGAAATAAACTTGTGCAAATTACAGAAGAAAACAAACATCATCATAGAAACTGTGAAAAAGACAGACGCGCTATAGAGAAAACTTAGAACAGTTTGCATCAAGCGAGTTACTGAAGTTAAAGTAACTGAACTTAAAGTAACTTCACATCCACGTTCACATCCACGTATGCTATGATTTCTTGCCAGCTTGTTAGATCGTAACCGCAGTAAACATAGGCGTGTTAAGAAACGCAATCACAGGCGCAAAACGAACAAAGGTTAGCGGTAAAAGAAACGATAGCAGTCGTGAAGCCCCACCGAGTTCACCTTGATGACGCACGCGTTCGAAGTAACGGGCGTCGATCGGCATGCACGTTGCTGCTGGCCTTCAGGTGCTTGTGTTGGTAAGGCGGATTATTAGTGATCTAACGGGCGAACTAAGAAGAGAAGCAAGCAAGTGCCGAGCAAGTAAGCGTGACACTCATGACGACGTTGTGCGTGAAATTGGCGCATGCAATGATGATTAAAGCTATGCTGCTACGCTAAAATGAACTACAAAAATACTACAGGCTGATGAAAATCTTTTGAGTAAACAAGCACCAGGAATTCTGTGTAATTTTACAGAATAAATGTTTCTGGGTTCAATATTATCGACGACACGGCACCGAAACGTCATTTCATCTACATTTATGTACAAAGTAGCACTACGTTTATTGACGCAAGCTTCCGTTAACGGTTAGCATCAGCTTTAAATAAGCTCATTGGCTGCAAAATTGGTTATATATAAAGTGGGAAAAAATCCTCAAATTGCTAGATCATATGAAAATTGAAGTGTAAAAAATAATAACATTGCAAAAAAATATAAATGCAGTAATATGAACTGAAAGATAACAGTTTTCAGCTACGGTATAGCATTTGTAAAACATCCAGTGCAAAAAAAGTTGCCGTTAAGCCAAGGACTTCTAGGATAACTTAACTATACAGCCTTGAGGCAAATATGTACGTGTATTGCAATAAAAGCTTTCAATTTTCCAACAACATTTCAGTTAGATATGTTTCTATAAATAGGTGTGAATGACGTATATTTGTGGATGATATCTATACGTAAATGTCAATAGTAAATGATGTTAATGCAACTCATTCGGTAGTACCTATATGATTCTGCTTAATGTGTTTCAAGTCTGTCCTCAACTCTGTCATTGAGCTTAGCACCATGAGAAAGCACAAGTCTGACATCAACAAAGTGTAAGCCTCCCTCCCTTCCCCCCCATATCTAAGACAAACCATGCCCAAATTAAAAAAAAAAAGGATGATAGAGTTGATAGGTATGGTCTTTATGAATCGAATGATATGTCTCTCATTGCTGTAGCTTGAAAACTGTAGGAATAGTAGTTTTAAGATATGGCGTTTTTTTGGATTTTTAAATTGTTCGGGGTAGCCAAATAAAGTAAAATTCATTGATAACAGAAGAGTATGCCAAAAAAGGCTTGATTTTGTTGCCCAAGCTTTCCCATTGCCAATTATTTGTATTCATGGTACCAGCACGCATCTTTAGACCTATTTGTGTCCAATTTAACGTGAATAATAAGCTTTAAATGTGACTTTTTATGTATAAATATATGCATAAAATATTCATTTTACATAACTTTACAACTGCATAACGCAAAAACTATTGCATGTACATCCCTGGTAGCACCTAGCTTTAGAATAGAATAGAATAGAAGTGTCGGCGTTGAAGAAATAGGCCCATGGCCTGTTTCCGACTATATTATTTTTCGCAGCATGTTAACAGGCAATCTAAAAACTCGCATTTAAACCAGACCGGTTCAAAACTGTCATTGGTTGGAAATATATGCAGGACTTTCATTTGGTCCGTAAGGTGCTAGGCATTTGAAGACTGAACATACGACTTAATAACTTTTTCTAGTTTTTTCGTAAACGCGTTCATTAGTTGGAGCGTCAACGGTGTCGTAAGGGAGGCTGTTCCACATGTCGGTGACTCGAAGCGAGAAGAAATGT